GGAGGGGGCGTGTGGGCGTGGCTGAGGCCGCCAGGCCTGCCCACCAGGCTGGCCCGGAGTCCCCGACGGAGCAGCAGCCGGGAGCCGCCCCCTCCGCCTCTGCCCGCCCGCCGCACCTGGCGTGGGCGCCTTCTCCGTCTTGCCCTTCCACACCGCTGCGTAGCCATCCTCGCGCTTGTTGAACGCCACGAGCTTCACCTCGTACAGGCGGCCGGGGGCTGGGGAAGGTCACAGGGCTCGGTGGCTAGCGGGGCGTTTTTTTTCTTGGGGGCCCCCCCCCCCCAGCCGCAGGAAGCCTGCCCGCCCCCGCAGCCCTCCTCACCCAGCTGGGTCCGCTCGTACTGCTTCACCTTCTTCTTGAGCCGCACCGGCCCCACGTCCCAGGCCTGGTCGCCACGTCCCCCCGGGGGGCGGTCACCGTCAGCCTCCTCCTCGGCCCCCACCTCCCGCCAGTACAGTTTGTAGCCAGAGATCTGGGTGGGGTGAGGGGGCGGCTGCCACGACACAACCAGGGACTCCATCCTTGCCCGCACCTTCAACTCTGCAGGGGCGAAAGGGACTAGGGGCGGAGGGCGGGATGAGGGCGGGATGGGGACGGGAGGAAGACAGTGGGGGATGAGCAAGGGAGGGCAGGAAGCGGGGGTCAGTGAGGGCCTGCGCAGGCGGCAGGTACCCAGCGCCTCCCCACGCAGCCCCCACCCAAGCGCCAGGCCTGGGCTCCACCGAGAGGTGAACTCACTATTCTACAAGCACAGGGTGCTGGGCACGCAGAGGTGTCTCCCGGACATTTGCAAAGACGTCAGCAAGGAGCACCTCTGGGGCGGGGCTGGCGGAACCCGGCAGGGGAGGCCTCGGTGAGCCTCCAGGAGGACGAATGCCACGCGCAAGGGCTGCTGAGGCCGGGAAGGAGGGATGGCGCTGTTAGAGCGGGAGCTCCGCTTGGAGCCCCCGAGGGGCGATTACGGTCAGACACCGCTCTGAGCACTGTGTACGTGTATTTTAACTGTAGTTTCATACCCCTATACAAGAGTGAAAATACCGCCATTTTCACTATTGTGAAAGGAAACAGGCCCGGGGACGTTAAATAACCTGCCCAATGTCTGCAGATTTTGTCTGCATTTTATCGCTCTCTTGTTGGGCCTCTCCTCAAAAACGATGGCCATAATCATGGAGATGCTGCTATTTAACACGGTCTTGTCACGCACTAAGCCCTGCACATTACGAATCCTCGCACCACCCTCCAAGTAATGGGAGGCTCAGAGCAGAGAACGGTTTGGCGGAGGGGACTCGGCCCTTCACCCCACACCCGTGCTCCCTGATCCGTCCAGCAGGGGGAGCCATGGAAAATCAGAGGGAGGAGTGGCGGGTGCAGGGTTCCCGTGCATACACACACCCACGCGGTCACACACTGCCCCGCCCGGTCCCCTGACCCCGTACCGTGGCTCTGGTTGTGCGTACTGGGCGTCCTGTGCTGCACCCACTGGGAGGGGGCCCCGTAGCCCGCGCCCGTGCCCGCTGAAATCCGGACTCGATAGACCTTGTTGGGCTGGAGCGAGTTCAGTGTGAGCTGTGTCTCGTTCCCCGGCACCTCAGTGGAGAAAGTCTGGTCTGCTGGGACAGAAAACGTGAGCTGTTGGGGGACCACCTGAAGACCATGACCCCTGGATGCCTACAGCCACCTTCCCACCTCGGGATCCTGGTTCCTTGGTGCCCATGGGAGTGTGCTGTCCTCTGGGCACTGACCCTTCAGTACCTGGGCAGACTCCGTGCTCCAGGGTTGATTCCCAGCTGCCAACCCTGGTGGGCGTGGCCACCAGCCTCACTCAGCATGGGGACAATCCTGGCACTTCTGCCTTCCCCATGAACAGTCAACGGCCACTCCCCACCATCGGCCACTCCCCACCATCGCACACCCCTGGGTGCTTACTGCCCTAACACCCCCGCTCCAGCATGCCACTCACTACCACCAGCACGCCCTCCTCCTCCCTCCCTGTCTGCTTTCTGAGATAGAAGGGACTCCAGGGACCGCCCACCCGGCTGCAGTTCAGAGGTAGGAGAACCCAGGCCAGGACTCCTGCCCCAGCAGCCCTGAAAGCAGCTGTAGAGGGATGGGGTTGGAACCCAGCCTCCCAGGGCTGGAGCAGGTGCTCTTGGACCTCCTTTTCCTCCCCCCACCTCCCAGCCCAGCCCACACTTCCCTTCTTCAGGCTCACCCTTCCCCACTCCACCCAGCCGCACTAGCCAGCCTGGCCTGGCCTGCCCACTCACCTTCCTTCCCCAGACCGTGCTCGATCTTGTACTTGAGCACCTGCCCATTGCTCAGGCTGGGAGGCAGGGGCAGCCATGCCACCCGGATGTCCGAGGGGTTGGGGCTGGACAGGGAGAGCTGGGGGGCTGCACTGGGTACTGAGACAGAAGGACATGTGAACTCTGCTCCACCGCCACAGAGAGTGGGGCTCAGGAGCTGTCAGACCCCGCGAGTCACACGGCAAGTGAGGTGTAGGCCCAGGCCCGGAAGCTGAGGGAGGACGGAGCCTCTCAGGGAAGCCCCAGGCTGAAGGGCAGGATGAGGGGACATCCTTCCCACCCCAAGGCCCGAGGAAGTTCTGGGCACAATTTTCCACGGCCATAGGTTAATGCCACTGGCCCCAGCCCTACTGTGGCACCCAGGGACTGGGGCGAAGGGCTGGATGGCATGGGAAGCACAACACCCGGGCTCCACTCCCAGCTGCACCACTGACTTGGGCAAGCCACTCGTTTTCTGGGCCTCAGTTTCTCTAGCAGTAAACTGGGGAGAAGACTGCCTCCCCACTTTCTTACAAGGAACAAAAGGGAACACAGGCCAACACCCATGCCTTGGGGACACTAGTGAAGAGAGGAGAGCTACCACCCCAGGGGACTCTGGGGCCCCAAGCTGTCTTCTGCTGGCTCAGAGCCCTACCGTCGTCCATCGTGTGCACCAGGGCTGGGGCGGAGGTGCGGCTGGCCCCCAGCTGCGAGTAAGCTACCACGTAGAACTCGTAGTCGGTGTTGGGTTCCAGGTCCCGAACCTGCAGCTCTGTGGTGTCGTTGTTCACAGCAAACTGGTATTCCACATTGTCCAGGCCTGGGGTGGTGACATGGGGGGTGAGGGGACTGTCACTGGGTCAGCTGGAGTCTGTCTAGGGGCCTTCACACCCTCTGTTTCTGGGACAGTCTCTTTCTCGCTAGATCACGCCCACGATCCAAGCTGCAGCCTGTAAACGTCAGCCTCTAGTCTCACTGCAGGTATCACCCCCGTGGGAAATTCTTTCTGGGGTCTAATTGAAGTGACTCCGGCTGCAGTTGGTAAGCTAGAGTGGAAGGTGGCTCAGGGACTGCAGGAGTTTTCCCTGAAAGGAGAACCCCCTCTGCAACCCGTCACAACAAACTGGCCAGGGGAAGCAGCTGGTCACACAGTGACCCTTGTAGCTCTGGCTGCCTGGCCAGCATCTACTCAGGTCTCTCTTGTGGGCTCTAACTCCACCCTACCCCGTCCGCAAAGGTACCCACCGTCAGCCCTTGGGTCATCTAACCGGTCTCCTGTCCCGTCCCCGCCCCTTCCTTGACTGGAGGGTGTGGCTAGCCCAGGCGTCCAGGCCCCGGGCCTTCTGGTAGTGCAGGGAGAAGCCGATGATCTGCTCGCTGTGCAGCTCGGGCCGCTCCCAGGCCACCAGCACGGCGGAGCTGCTCAGCGGCGTGGCGGTGACTCGCGTGGGGGCGCTGGGCAGTCCCTCGCGCACCACCACGGCCAGCGGTGCGGCTGCACAGGCGGTCCCCG